TTATTTTTTTGGTCTTTTTGAGACAGGGTCTCCCTGTAGCCCCAGCTGTCCTGGAACTCACTATGTAGACCAGGCTGGCCTTGAACTCACAGAGATCCACCTGCCTGCTAGGATTAAAGGCGTGTGCCACCACACCTGGCCAAGGAGGATAATTTTTTTTAAAAAAAAAAGAGTTTAAGCTGCCTAAAGTCTCAGAAAAGACTTTGAACTTGGACTTTGAGCAATGCTAGAATGTTAAGACTTTGGGAACTCTTGAAATACACTAAATGCATTTTCAGTAAGAGATGGGCAGAAAGAAGTGTTTGGGGGCCACAGGTTAGTTTGAAAATGAAGTATTCTCAACAGTCTCTAGTATTGAACTTTGGTCCCCAGATGGTAGCACTCTTTTAGCAGGGTGTGAAAACCTGAGATGCGGCCTGGTTGGGGGGCTGCTCTCTGCACCCTTTCACTATGCTCTGCCTCACCACAGGCCCAGAAGCAGTGCAGCCAGCTGACTGGAAACTGCGCAAAAATGTATCTTTCTTCCTTTTATCTGGTTTTCTCAGAGATTTGCCACAGAGAAAAAAAAAAAAAAAACGTGGATAACAATAACTATGAATGAGTTTACAAAGAAAAGTAAGTACTTATAAGTACTGTGCTACTTCACAGCATCATGAACGTCGGTCTGCTCACTACCTTTATGATGTAGTAGGCCTGTGTCCGCTCCTCTCCCTCAGGAGGCAGCATGACCACAGTGAGGATCTCGTATCTGTTCTTCAGCTTATCGATCTTGCTCAGCCGCTCGTGGAGTTCAGCACTAATGGAGAAAACATTGTTTTTATTGAAGATCTTTGGATTTGTGTTATTACTGTGCACACACAGTTTAAAAGTGAGCTCATGTTTTATAACTGCATGTCAAAGTCTCAGAGTTTACCCTGCTTGAGTAACAGCAAGCTAGCTTGTCAGGGATTCCTGGACGCTGGAAGACTTGAGACTCTTAGGACAGACGAAGGACGTTGTCATTCATGGCACAGCGGGAGATAAACGCTGCCTGCCCACATGGTTTCCCCCTTGCCCCCCACATCTCATGAGGGCCAGAAGGGGCTCAGGTAGATGCTACACACTAGGTCTATGTCACAGCAGGTCTGTGTCACGGCAGGTCTGTGTCACAGGTGCAGAACCTCACAGTTCGACAACCCCAATATTCTCCAGTAAGAACTAAGTAAACGTGCCTGACCTTTGCTCCAGAGGGAAATGGCTCCTGGGGACGTTCTGCTGTTTCAACAGTGGAACGTGGAATTAGTGTCTCTCCTTACAGGCGTGCAAGATAAACTCATGGCGAAGGTTCTCCTAACACCTGCACTCAAATTCTTAAATGCTCGTTACTTTCTCCCTTTGTTTCAGGTCAAGCTTGTTTTCTGAGCTAGTCTCAAAAGGTGGAACATCAAACACTAGCAGTGCTAACGTGCACGGCAGCATGGAGAATGGCGCAGCGCCTGCTACAGGCTCCTGAAGGTGAGCCCCAGTCACGCTGAAAAGAAATCTTCAACCTACCATTTTCCAACTCCTAGAGAAAACTGATGATGAGTACACTTAGTGGCAGAAGTTCCTGTTTTTCTTATTTTTAGGTGTATTATGTCACCAGGAGGTACTGACTGATTTTTGTCGTCATAAATGACTTTCTCGTCAGCTCACAATGGCACCCTGAACAGAAGTATATCCTTCCACATTTCTAAAGCAGGAAAGAAGCCAAGTATGGTGGCCTGAAATCCCAGCGAGTCGTGGGAACAGAAAACAGTTCAAGCAACGAAAACACCATGGAACAGTAGCCCTCCAGAGAGCTCTGCTCAGCAAAAGAAGATCCAAACTCAAGAAAAAGACATAAAATTAGCAACAGTGACCTCTGACAGAATCACTGAGTAGTCAACTTTTAAACAGTCATAAAGTATCTGGACCACTATTTTCAGTCCCTCAAGGTACACAGAGATGTTGACCTGAGTGGTTTCTGTTCTAATGGGAACTGAAATATTACCAGCAATCCAAACAGCTGTGTTGGAACTAGACAAAGAATAAAAAAGAACCTGAAGTAAAGGTTTCCAAAATAGTTAAAGTGTAAAAAGAAACATTATTCCACTAGGAATGAAATAAGACTTTCAACATTTGAAATAGATATGTAACCTTCTGTAACTATAGAAGTCCTAAAAATAGTTGATAATTTCCTATGCTCCTTAAGGGGCAAACTAGCCCAACACCTAAAAGCACTTCAACTTAGGGGAGACCTGCTGAAGAAAGAGAACTACCTCACTGCAAAGAGAATCCTTACCAGCTAATTTGATCAGTAACTACCAACATTAATTAGGCGTTTATTGGTAACTATGAGTGGAAAACCAGGACAGACAGTTACGAGAAACCAACAGGACAAATTAAAATAGCTCGTGAAGACACACACAGGCTACAAGAGAACTTCCAAAGTATTCTGATTAGTATCCTCTAATCTGTGAGACGCTATCTCCAAAAATACTATAAAAGCAGCTGGGCTGCTAGAAGAAAAGGACAGAGAGAGCGGGGCCTTGCAAATAAGTCCTCCTTTACCACCAGGATGGCGCTGACGACGAAGGTTCCATTACTCATCTGGAGAGGTGGAGAGCCAGAGGAAGTTAGTCAGAAGGTAAGGAAATGGAAGAGAGGGACCTTCAGGAAGCACAAAAAGGCGGAGATGAGAAGACAGACGATGGGCAGCTCCAGCTTTCCCTCTGGAATCCAGCATAAAACAAGGGAATCTGTAGCCACCACTTCTCAGAGCTGAACTGGAGGCCTAGCAAGTATTATAAAGGAAGAAAAAGAAAAGTTTAAAGATTGGAAAGAAACAAACAGAACTATTAAAAAATGGTATGAGTGAAATGCCTAGAAAATTAGAGTCTGAAGATGAACTGGTAGAATTACAACTTTAGTGAGGATAGACAGAAATTAGCCATACAACATTTCAGTATTCCATTAACCAGCCCAAAATTACGTACTTTAAGAGGAGATAACATTAATGGTAACAAAGCTTCTATAAGAAAACTGTTTCAATAAGTACATCTATATTCCATATATATATGAAAACACATACTACTAGACCCTTTTTTAGAAATCATTCACAAAAGTCAGTCTGAGCCCAGAACCCACATGAAGAGGTCAAGTGCAGCACATGAGCCTCTAATCCCAGCTCTGGGAGGTGGAGACAGGAGGATCCCTGCAGCTCACTGGCCAGCCAGCCTCGTTTATCGGTGAGCTCAGCTACAGGCCAATGAGAGACCTTGTATCAAAGGAAGCGGGGAGCATCCTAAGGATGACATGAGAATGTTGCCTGGCTCCACACATGGGCACGCACACGTGCACCTGCAAACACACAAACACACATACATAAAAAAATAATTTTAAAATCGATTTCAAGCAGATGATTGGTCTTAATGTAACACACCTACAGGATAGAGAATTAGTCGCAGGAAAGCCTTCATACACCCTTCATCGTACACTTTCAAAAGATGGGTGTCAGGTTTAGAAGAGGAGCAGGCAGCTCTCCACATGCTTTTCAAACACGGTGGCGGTGTCTGAGAACCCTGGGCAGTTACCTTACGTTCTGCCTCTCCTGCTCAACGTGTCGCATCTGTGTGGCAAGCATTGCTCTGTGCACCTTGATCTCCTCAGTCCGCTCCTCCATGGCTGTGCACAACTGCTGTTTTCTTTTCTCCAGGGAAAGAACCTCTTCTGCTTTACTGTAAAGCATTTCTCGAATGCGTTTAACTTCAAGCTTTAAAATATTGTCCTCAATCATCAAATCCTATCAAAATAGCAAAATTTTCAGATTTAAATAATTATTTCTATACAAAACCCATGTTATTTTTCTTTTCTATTGCTATAAAAGTTAAACTGAAAATGCACCTTTTTAAAATTAGCCACTTACTTCAGACATGATTCTATTTTTTCTTGAAAAAGAAGGGGGAAGTTATAGCTACTCCAAATCACTTTTAAATAATTCAACTTTAAACCTTCACTAAACTTCCTTAAACTTGAAATTTAACATCTAGGAAACATATAAAGTTCTACAGACAAACATTTTTTTGCCCTAAAATACATATCACAAAGTAACGTATAGATGAATTTTTAGTTTTAACAAGCTCTGTCATGCATAGAGCACCGGAATACTTGTAACACGCTAACTTCTGATGAGAACACAGACAGGCATTCCAGGGCAGGAGACTGCTACTTTAGAAGCTGCTTCTGAGTGGGGAAAAGAGGGGATCCCCACATCTCACAGGCAGAGAAAATATCCTGGATGAATGGAAAAACCTACTCCAAGAGATTAAAATCAGCACAACCACTAGAAAGAGCAAAGGCTTGTCAGAAATTCTTAGCACAAGCTTCTAAGCATAAAAATTATGAAGTAAAAAACAGATTTCATGTTAAAAGATGGTCTATATAAAAAATAATGACAATTCAAAGGCAAATTGGAAAATATTGAGAATACTTATGAGGTGCTTTTACATATCAAAATATTTTATAAAACAAAATATAAACTCTTCGATGGGAAAAAAGGGCTAAGAATACAAACTAGCTTTTCAAAAAAGAAAAAAATATGGAATGTGATATAATTTTCAGATATTGTTATTTGAACAAACATAGTTTAAAGAAAATATCTTGGGCTGGAGAGACGGCTCAGCAGTTAAGAACACTGGCTGTTCTTGCAGAGGACCTGGGTTTGGTTCCCAGCACCCACACCGGCTGACAATCATGTGTAACTCCAGTTCTAGGGAATTCAACACCCTCTTCTGACCTCCACAACCATTGCGCGACACAGGTGCACTTACACACATGCAGGCAATACACTCATACATAAAGTGAAAATAATAAAAGCTTTTAAAAAGAATACTTTTTAAAGAACAGTTTATATTTCAGGAAACATGTATATCAACTATTTCTAAATACAACCTTTAAGGACAATTTTCTTAGAAAATAGGAAATGTACCTTAACACTTTATCATAAATACAGTGATTATAAAGACTGATTTTCTTCATAACCATTTCCCGTGTTTTAAACTGTTCTGTAATTACCATGAAAGCATATGACTTAACCACGAATCCATAGTTTCATCGCACCTGCTTAACACCTCTTGCTTTGCTAAGTTCCTTCTCTGATCTGTCAATGAAAAGGCTCAGTTCGTTCATTTTGCTCATGAGAGACTGTTTCTCTTCACTGTTCTTACTGTTGGACTTCTTAATGAAGTAGAGATCGTTCTGTAAGAGGGGACAGGGCACGAGCATGTTCTAATGACAACATGACTTGATATGACAGTAAATGTGTCTTGTGCTAAATTCCTGACTCGGCAGCATAAAAACCAGGTATTTCAAACTCTCGTCATGCTGTCTAGAACTCCAGTGTTCACACAGAAACATTTCCATTTTTATCATTTACTCATGTTTCGGGTTTAGTCCAAGATGGCTAATTCTGAGAAACATCACACGTGGTTTCAGTTCAACCTGAGTTCCCAAGTGCTCACCACGCAGAAGGGAGCCTTCAAATCACTGCAGGTCTGGAGAGCTCAGGGTTCTGGCTAACAGGACAGCTCTGGGGCCAGGTGCCTTCAGCCCCCATTAGCCGTCCTGCTCTAGTGGGCAGCCGATTCTTCTCAGACCTCTCATCTCTGAAATGGAAACGGGGACAGCCCTCCTCCCTGGGTTGTTGTGAAATTAGGAATGTAGTCATAGGAGATTATTTCATAAAATTATATCTAGAACAAAAGAATTAAAAGTTCATGCTATTTCAGGGTCAGCGAGTTGGCTCCAAAGGTGAGACCACTTGGTGCCAGAGGATACAAGCTGGATGAACTGAGGTCCAGCCCCTGAACCCAAGAAAAGATGGAAAGGCAGAACTCTAGAACACACAGCTCACTGACAGGGCCCCAGCTACAAAGCCCTGTGCTCCATGAACACGCGACCTCCTGTCCCTGTGCTCTGTGAACACATGCCCTCATGTCCCCCTGCTGTGAACATGACCTCCTGTCCTCATGCTCCGTGAACACGCAACCTCCTGTCCCCATGCTCCATGAACATGCGACCTCCTGCCCTAGGTGTTCTGTGAACACGCGTCCCCACATCCTAACACCCCAAATGGTCCAAGCGGCACCTCTGTGCAGTATCCACTCAGCGGATGCTGCTCTAGTTCCCAAATGCCCTGAAATACAGAACGTTCCCTAGGGGTAACTAGTGCTTGGGAAAGTTAAACAGCAGCAGCGGTATAAACTTGAGATTCGAAAGTCCATCTAACCCAAATCTGGTGCTCTTTTCTAGTAAATCAAGGTAACAGTTAAAAACGACTTCATCAGTCTACAAACTACTCCAATCAAAATTTTGTCATACTGAAATTAAATTCTGTGCCCTCGGGGAACTCAGGGCGATTCTACTGACCACCAGAGGCCGCTCAGCACCACCTTTCTACCCTGCCCAGCGCTCACTGGCTGAGGTCCACAGGGCTCTGTGAGGCCCTTCCTCCCCACTGAAACTTTAATGTAGGTTTACATTGCAGTAAACTCAACAAAAAGATTAAGAACGTTCTCGTGTTACTAACTGGAGGCATTTCAGATATTATAACTGAGAACTTAGCGGGGTGAGAACCACCAATGAGCAAGGCTTCTCTTGTCAGCAATGAGGAGATAAAAGCCAGAGCTAAAGTTACTCACTGAACAGTGTGCTCTTCAAGAGGGTCCCGAAGACAAATGGATGAGAGATCAAACCCTACCTCTCCGTGCACTGACTGTGTAACCCTGAACAAGTGATTTAATTTGCAATAAATAATATCTTCACACAAGACGTTCATGAAGATTAAGTAAGATAAAACAGGAGAAGCCTGTGACGGCAGTTAGCTCGGGAAACGCTCAAGTGGTGGGAACAGCACATTCTGACAGCATAGAAACAGGAGCACTTGCTGTCTGTGGGGAGCTCGGGAATCACTCTGACCAGAATAGGTTTAGGAAGGTGTTGGATGAAAAGGAAAGGCTCAGTAGGACACTGAAAGATCTCACGGGGATGGAGAGACGGTTCAGCAGGTAAGAGCACTGGCTGCTCTTCCAGAGCACCGTCGCTTAGTCCCCAGTACCCACACGGTAACTAACAACCATCTGTAATTCCAGTTCCAGGGGATCTGACACCCTCTACTGACCTCTGTGGGCACTGCATGACATGGGTGCAGTTACATACATGCAGACAATACATTCATATACGTAAAATAAAAATAGTATTTAAGAAAAAAAATCTCAGCCAAGTTACATGAAGCTTCTTGATCTGTGCTTCCAAAATAGAATATGTGGATTTCCTCTCTTCCAGTGTCTTCTTAAGTTCAACAAGTTTTGCTTCCAGGGCTTGTTTCTCCTCTGAGTTAATCTCTCCTTTTAACCACGACATTCTGCGCTCCACTTGCTGAATATAAAAATCCTGTGAACGGTTTGTGAAAATAGTCAGGCGGGGACATGCAACTGAAAGGCTGTGAGTGAAGACAGCCTTGCTTCCTTGACTTTGGCTGTTGGTCACCATTACTAAAGCCACTTTGTCCTTCCCAGTCTGAGGGGCAACAACAAACTGCTCGGCAGTCAGGACGGCAATGCGGACAGTCAGAAAACCACACTGCACCGGGGAGCTTGGAGGTCCAGGGGCCCTGCACAAACAAGGGCGTCTGGGGACAGTTTTCAGAGGACACAGAAAGCCTGTCACCAACATACACGGAAGGCTCGAATGTGATCGATGTGTCAGGAATCACTTCTAAGATTACATTTTAGTATATTTGATATTGAGAAACTAAAAATTGTTCAGGTGAAGAAATGAAGATGCAGAGGAGAAAATTAAATGAACATGAACATGGGGGGAGTGAGGGAGAGAGAGAGACAGAGAGAGATTGAGAGAGAATGTGTGAGTGAGCATGTGCATGTGAGTGAATGCGTGTGCGTGTGTGTGTGTGTGTGTGTGTGTACATGTGTGCCCACATAAGCAGACAAGCAAACATAAAATCCTTTCACTCTGTTGGCCTGGGAGGTAGGAGTGGGCAGCACGTGTGTCTGCAGAAGTCCAAGGGTTTAAGCCCTCCATTTCACAGCGGCTGCCTCAGTTTTCCTTACAGCATGGCCCCACCCCTCACCAGTGTCTGTTTAGCCTGTTTACTTTGCCCTGTGCTGACCTGGCCTTCCTCTCCTGCCTGTTGGTCCATGGATCCCTGAGATTCCTCCTTTCCTCAGGGTTCTGGGGTTTCTTGACCACAAGTGTTAACAATTCACTGTGCAGACGGTCACAGGGGAGTGTCTACCTGACTGTACATAAGTTCTTGCTGCTTCAAAGTTTCAAAATCCAGTTTGTGTAGCTGACGGTTGAGACGTTTCAGAGAGGAATGGGTTCCTTCGATCTCTGACACAAGAGCTTTCTCTCTCAATGTCTCTTTCTGCAACTCCTGAACTTTTTTAAACAGCACATCTTTCATTATGTTCAACTGAACTTCCACCTCCTGATAAGAAAGTGTAAGAACGAGAGTCATTAGTTATGAGAGCTTAAAATCTGCATTTACATGAACATTTTACTTTAGGGGTGAGAAACAAAGCTGAGACCCCCCCATCAGCATTCGGCCTTGAGAATAAAAGCCATCCCACAGTTTCACAGTGCCCCAAATCCCTTCTCTCCTAGCTTTAAATCAGGCTGGTATTTCCTGTTCCTGTGTCATGCACTTTGACATTCTGATTTCATCCCACACTGTCCTGGCCTCAGAACGAGGCCACTCCATCAATGTCCTCAGGAAATAAAACCACGGGAGACAGGTTCCCTGTGAGCTCAGAGTTCACTACATGGAATCCTGAGGGCACAACTGAAGAAATCACTAGCTTCTTTGGGCCATGGTCAAGTGCTAATCTGAGAATTATTTTTAAATACAAAAATAATTGTCACACATAGGCACATCTCCCTTGGGCAGCCAATGAACCTCAGTAGGAAACAAAAGGGGCCTACAACTGACTGGCGCATACAAATCCTCAGGGCTAGAGATAACTGATACTCAGTGTGTTATTTCTCACACAACAGACACTTCCACTGGGTTCAAAACCTTCTCAAAGTCCCTCAGCAGAGTCTAAAGGTCAGGTCTGGGTGGTGACACACCCATCACCAAGAACAGCAGGGTTGAGCTTTTTTCCAAACAAAGACAGTGAACACAGCCCTTAAAATATCAACCTGTATATCTGGGCCAATATTTAAATTTTCCAACTCACCTAATTTCTGTTTTCCTAAACAGTCAGATCTTCTGACAGCTGACGTGAGATGACCTGTGCACCTTACCCTCCATAGTAGGCCTGGGCTTCCGTCATGCCCACCTCACAGCTGGGGGAATGCTTACCTAGTTCTGTCTTCAACATTTATGTGTTTCACTTTTTAATTGATAATTTCATGTTTATATAATGAATTTTAGTCGGTTTCAGCCCATCCCTCCTCTTCCTCACACGCCCCGCCCCCCGCGAGGCAACAGGCCCACCGCATCCTCTCCTGCTGTCATTACTTGTGTGTGGCCCTGAGTACGATTAGAGCCACTTGCCTGAGCGTGGGTGGGACGTTATCCACTGGGACATGGGTAACTTATCTGTGGCTACACCACTGAAGAGAGTGACCCCACCCCACCCACAGCAAGTGTGTGCTGACAGTCTTTCTGGGATGGGGGGGTCTCCTGGGCCCGACGCTGATGCATGATGGAATGCTGTTAATGCTGGGTCCTGTGCAGATAACCACTGCTGAAGTGAGTTCAGCTCATTTCTTCTAAAAATGTTACAAGTTTCATTATTCTCGCCCATCAAAAGATCTATTTCACAGGAATTTCAGTCTTTAAAATTTCTTCATGATGGGGCTGGAGAGAGAGCTCAGTGGTTAAGAGCATCCCATGCCCTTTCAGAGGATATGAGTTCAGTTCCAGCACCCACACCAAGCACTTCACAACCATCTGTAACTCCAGCTCCAGGAGATGCAGAGCCCCTCTGGCACTGGGCACACACATACAAATCTTTTTCTTAAGTATTTTTTTTTTTTTTTCTTTTCATGAGTTCTAATAACCGGTACTGTAGCAAAACAGGCTCTTAGGAGAAGATAAAACCAAAGTGCATAATTTGGAGTCAGATACTGCTCTCAGGTCTCAGGAACCTCAGAGCACTGTGGGGAACCTGGGCCACCAAATGTGAGCAGAGTCATGTTTTCTATGAGCCTCGTCAAGTGTTTAGAGATGGCACCCTCTTCATGTGCCTCCTCTGTCCCCAGATCCAAGGGCAGGAAGCAGGGCTGCCATGTCACACCACCTTGACACCTCTTCGGAGACTAAAAAGAAAGAGACGGATCAACCGTCTCCAGTTCCTCGGGCATCCCTGTCACCAGCACACGCTCCATGGAAGAGGGTGCTGGTGTAATGAGGGAAATGCCGTGTTTCACAGGCCAGTTACTAAAACTGGAGCCAGTGTGTACAGGGTTAAAAAGCTCATAGACGATGAACTACAGTGAATGTCAGAGTGGGAGGATGGGGGGCTGGTCACACACGCACAGAACGACAGAGACAGGAGGGCTGGTCACACAAACACACACACAGAACGATAATGCTGTGGAAACTGGCTGTGAAACCAGGGCATTTCGTAAAGTCTGGGCCGCAGCACACTAACAGGCGTGGGCAGTGGGGATGTGGGCAATGTGGGCACTGGAGAGAATCAGCTGCAGGCCAGCGCAGGCTGCCCTCAGTGCAGACAGCAGGGTTCAGGTCCGCACAGAGCCTCTCACAAGACTCCCTCGCCCACTGCTGCCGCCGCTGTGGCCTCCCCCTCACCTTTGTGCCCTTCTCCTCCTCCCTCAGCATGTCTTCTAGGTTGGTGGCTTTCTCCTCCACAGACATGGTCTTCTCTGTGACCTTCTTCAACTGCTTTTCTACAATCTCATTGTGATGTTTAATTTTTTGTAATCTAGGGTTTTCAAGGAAATACAGAAAACACATTGAAAAAGATATTTGATGCAAAAAAAAAATAATAGTTGCTTCTTTTGCTGCAAACATTTTTGTTACTGCATGCCGGACAGCTTTAGTGTCAACCTGACACACCTGGGTAGCGGGAACCTCGATTGGGGAATTTTCTCCATTGGACTGGCCTGTGGCCATGTCTGTGGGGCATTTTCTTGATTATTAAGTGATGTGAGAGGGCCTAGCTCACTGTGGGTGATGCCACCCCTGGGAAGGTGGTTCTGTATTGTATAAGAAAGTAGGCTGAGCACGGGCCAGTGGAGCAGCCAGGAAGCAGCATCCTCCATGGCCTGTGCTCCAGGTTCCTGCCGTGAGTTCCTGCCTTGGCTTCCCTTCATGATGGACTGTGCTATAAGCCAAATAAACTCTTTTTTCCCTCGAGTTGGTTTTGGTCAGAGTTTTCAACACAGCAATTTAAGGCACACTAGAACATACCATTATATACCCAGTAGGTTATGAAAAAAACAGGAAAATGTGAGCTTCATAATGAAGTAGCTGGGCTGGGGGGAGCTCAGGGGACTGGGTGGAGCTCAGGGGACTGGGAGGAGCTCAGGGGACTGGGGTGCTCAGGGGACTGGGGGGAGCTCAGGGGACTGGGGTGCTCAGGGGACTGGGGT